TTTTCCAACCTCACCTCTTCCTTTGGCCTCTAGTAACCTTCCCTTCTGACACTGTGTAATTGGAACATATATCGCTCTAATTGCTAGTTAACTTTTTTTTGTTACTTTTTATTTTGAAATACAGATTCGCAGGAAGTTGCAAAGACTGCACAGAGAGGTATCTCCTTTGAGTTTCCCCAGGGGTTACATTTTGTTTAACTATAGGGCAGCATCAAAACCAGAAGACTGAGGTTCGTCCAATGTGTGTGTATGACTCTGACACATAGGATCACCTGTGTCCTCAGGACAGAGACCTGCCCCCAAACCGCAGGGAACTCCCTGCAGCTGCACGCCGCAGTCCCAGCCACCCGCTTCCTCTACCAGTCCTTGCCCCCAGGAGCCCTAGTTTGTCTTCCATCCCTGTGATTTTATCATTTCAAGAATGTTACATGAGCGGGATCACATAGTATACTCTTTTGAGATCTGTCTAATTCTCTTCATCTTTAAATCGTATTCCGTGGTACGGAGGTGGAGCAGTTGAACAATTTGTTTATTAAAGTATCAACACACCCAGGTTGTTTCTAGCTTGTGGCTCTTGTGAGTAAAGCTGCTATGAGCATTCCTGACAGGGTTTTGTGTGGACGTAAATTTTCATTTCTCTGGAATAAATGTCCAGGAGTGAGATTGTATGGTATGCTACATTGTATGTTAAGTGTAGGCTTAATTTTTCTTTTGTATTTTTTTTAAGAAACTGAAAAACTTTTCTAGAGTGGCTGTCTCATTTTACATCCCCACCAACAGTGTATTAGAGATCGCATATCTCTGCCTCCTCATCACCATTTAGCGTTGTCACTGATTTTTTTGTTTTCGCTGTTTTCATAGATGTGTAGTGACGTCTTGTTATCAGAGCCGTGGTCTGCTGCTCCCTGGTGGCCGGTGAACTTGGACATCTTGTCTCTGCTTATTTGCTGTCTGTGTGCTCGCTGGTGAAACAGCTCTCCATGTCTTTGCCCACTTCCTAACTGGACTGTTTTGTTTCTTTAAACTGTTGAGTTTTGAGCATTCTTCAGTTCAGTTCAGTTCAGTTGCTCAGTCGTGTCCGACTGTTTGTGACCCCATGAACCGCAGCATGCCAGGCCTCCCTGTCCATCACCAACTCCCAGAGTTTACTCAGACTCATGTCCATCGAGTCGGTGATGCCATCCAGCCATCTCATCCCCTGTCGTCCCCTTCTCCTCCTGCCCCCAATCCCGCCCAGCATCAGGGTCTTTTCCAATGAGTCAACTCTTCGCATGAGGTGGCCAAAGTATTGGAGTTTCAGCTTCTGCATCAGTCCTTCCAACAAACACCCAGGACTGATCTCCTTTAGGACGGACTGGTTGGATCTCCTTGCAGTCAAGGGACTCTCAAGAGTCTTCTCCAACACCACAGTTCAAAAGCATCAATCTTTCAGCACTCAGCTTTCTTCACAGTCCAACTCTCACATCCATACATGACCACTGGAAAAACCATAACCTTGACTAGATGGGCCTTTGTTGGCAAAGTAATGTTTCTGTTTTTTAATTTGCTATCTAGGTTGGTCATAACTTCCCTTCCAAGGAGTAAGCGTCTTTTAATTTCATGGCTGCAGTCACCATCTGCAGTGATTTTGGAGCCCAAAAAATAAAGTCTGACACTGTTTCCACTGTTTCCCCATCTATTTCCCATGAGCATTCTTTGTATAGTCTAAATGTGAGTCGTTTGTCAGATATGTGGTTGGCAAATATTTTCTACTAGTTCCAGGCTTGTCTTTTTATTCTGTTAGTCTTTTGGAGAGCAAAAGCTTTGACTTCCATGAAGCCCAGTTTATCAGTGTATGCTGTGTGTGTGAGTCAGTCGTGTCCGACTCCTTGTGACCCCACGGACTGTAGCCCACCAGGCTCCTCTGTCCATGGGGATTCTCCCGGCAGGAATACTGGAGTGGGTTGCCACGCCCTCCTTTAAGAGATCTTCCCAGCCCAGGGGCCAAACCGAGGGCTCCTCGCACCGCAGGCAGAGTCTTTACCGTCCGAGCCACCGGGGAGGCCATTCTCCTTTTAGGAACCGTGCGTTTTGTGTCACGCCTAAGGGCTGTTCGCCAGGTTGTGGGCCCTGAAGATTTTCTGCTATGCTGCGCTTTTATGTTCTGAGTCAGTTCTGTATCAGGTGTGAAGTTTAGATCAAGGTTTTGTTTTGATTTTGTTTTTTCTTTGCCTGTGGATGTCCAGTTGCTTCAATATCATTTATTAAAAAGGCTATTCTTCCTCTACTTAATTGCTTTTGGATCTTCCAGAAAGAAAGCAGTTGACCATAGTACTTATGTCTGGGTTTTCTGTTATGTCCCGTTGATCTCTGTGCCTAGTCCATCACCAGTACCACACAGTCTTGCTTATGGTAGCTATGTAATAATAAGTCTGGAAATTACATTTCTCCCACTTAATTTTTCTGTTTGAAATTTGTTTTAGTTAATCTAGTGCTTTCCATATAAATTTTATAATAGTTCTATCTATATCCGTAAAAGATCTTGCTGGGATTTTATAGAAATTGTTCAACCTGTATATCGGTTTAGAGAGCATGTCATTATTATGTTGACACTTCCAACCCATGAACATGGTATGCCCCACCATTTGTTAGATCTTTGATTTCTTTCATCAACATTTTATAGTTTGCAGCATACAAGTCCTATGCATGTTTTGTCAGATTTATACCTAAATGTTCAGTTTTTGTGCTTGTGATTGTTAATAGTAAGTATTGCATTTTAAATCTCAGCTTCTGGGACAGTCCAGGAGCTAAGACTCCCTGCTTCCACCGCAGGGGGTGCAGGTTTGACCCCTGGTCACGGAACTGAGGTCCTGCATGCCGCATGGCACGTCTAAAGATTTTACAATTTTAAATTTCAGTTTCCACATGTACATTTCTAGTATATAGAAAGACATTTTACTTTTGTCAGTTTTCATATCCAGCAACCTTGCTGAATTCACTTGAATTCTAGGTTTTCTTTGATACATTCCTTGGGATTTTGTACATAGACCATTGTGTCATCTGCAAATAGGCTTAGTCTTATTTTTTTCTCTCTAATCCACGCACCTTACATTTCTTTCCCTCACCTCACCGTGGAGCCATGTTGAACAGCAGTGATGAAAGGGGATGGTCTGGTCTTGTTCCCGTTCTTGCCTGAAGCACTCAGTCTTCTACCATTGATTTTTGGTGTTCACTGCAGAGGTTTTTGTCAGTGTTCCTTATCAAGTTAAAGAATTCTCTATTCCTAGTTTTCTGACAGTTTGTATTACTGGTAACTGCTCAGTCATGTCCAACTCTTTGCAACCCCATGGACTGTGCCCGCCAGGTTCCTCTGTCCACGGGATTCTCCAGGAAATAATACAGGAGTGGATTGCCATTCCCTTCTTCAGGGGATCTCTCCACCCCCAACCCTGACCCAAGGATCAAACCTGGGTCTCCTGCATTGCAGGCAGGTCCTCTACCATCTGAACCACCAGGGAAGCCCTAGTTTTCTTATTAATGGGTGCTAATTGTTTAAATCCACATGTCTGTGTCTCCCGGGCTAGCTTCTGAGTTTCAGGAGCTCAGACACTGCTTCGTCAGCATTTTGTTTTCCTGCAGTGTGTATCTCAGTGGTCTGCCCCCAGGAAGCATTAAACGCGTTTGTGCATCAGAGAGACTGGGCGTGGACCCCGAGGCAGGAGCTCACAGGGGCATTTCTAACCCGGCAGTGCCGGGCACCGGGTCTGCAGGGGAGGCTGCAGCTGCGTTCTGGGTCACCATTCCCCTTCACCTTTCACCTCTCCTTTGGTTACCTTTCGCCTCTGTGGCTCACAGCAGATGCTCCAGCAGAGATCTGCAGAAGGCAGAACTCGTTGTCTCCTTTGCCCCAGGTTTTTAGGATAACTGCCAACTGAAAGCCACTGAGCTCTGCACAGTCAATGGGGGAATTGTATGTTATGTGACCTGTGCTCCAATAAAGCTGTTCTTTTCTCAGTGAAGTAAGTGCCAGCTGGGCAGTGATGTCCTGCTGTCCTCTGTGCTGTGTCCCGGGTCCCCCGGACCGCTCTGAGCCAGCCAAGGCCTTTCCCAATGGCGGGGTGGGGGTGGGGGTGACCGTGCTGCCGCCCCTGGGCTCACCGGTGCTGCTGCTGCAGGGAGCGTTCAGCGGGCCCCCCTGCAGAGCCCAGAAGCTTCCATGGATACCGCAGTGCTCACGCGCCAGCACGGAGTCGAGGGTGATGGGCCCGGCCTGCCCGCTGCCCGGGAGGCGTTCTCGCCGCAGCAGCACTTCCGGTTGGGCCGCCGTCCCCCATCCCGTTTCAGCTCAGGCCCTTTGTGCACCTCATGGACTCTGTCAGTGAGGTGAGGACAAAACGGGAAATCCCGACTCTACTTTCAACCAGGAGGAGATCAGCACAACAACGTGACCGGTTCCCCACCCTCCCAGGCACATCTGAACGTGAGCCGCTCCCGCCCGCTCCCCATTCAGTCTCCCGGCTCTGACCCCTGTGTGTTCACTCCTGCGGGCCGGGCAGGGCATCCTCTGGATGGAGGAGCTGCCAGGGCCCCGTGGTGACAGGGCAGCAGGGCTGCAGCTGGAGTTGTCCTCAAACCGGGCTCTTCCGGCGCTGCGGCGCGTGCTGTTTTCACACATCGCCTGGCGTGTTTGTGGCCGCTGCTCCCCCAACCTGTCGTCTCCCTCCCGGGGCCTTTTCAAATGAGTGACCTGCGATGTGGTCTGTGCAAGCCTCCAGCTCGAGAGTCGCGTCGCGGGAGCGCAGGGACAAACGCTGGCTGCAGGCTTGACGGCTACTAAGCCTCCTGCACTATGACCGTCTGTGCCCGCGCCGTGTTCTCCGCCTCAGCTCAGCCTTCGCAGCACCGTGAACCCTCTGTGTTGTTTCCTTTCATTCCCAGGGCGCAAGGGTTCTGGTCGATGCACGAGACAAGCTCGCTGTTCCTCGGCAGTACTCTGAAACCTTATTTCCTTTCTTTCCCAGGGCGCGAGGGTTCTGGTCGATGCACGAGACAAGCTCGGCATCCCCTGGCAGTACTCTGAGAATGAGAAGCACGGCATGTTCCTCATGGCTTTCGAGAACAAGGCAGGGCTGCCCGTGGACCCCGCCACCTTCCAGCTCTACGTGCCCGCCCTGAGTGCGCTCTGGGGGGACTCCGGCATCAGGGAGGCGTTCAGCCGCAGGAGCGAGTTCCAGCTGGTGAGTGAGCCTCTCCTGGGCCGCACAGGCTCAGACCTCGTGGGATTCCCCTTTACAAACTCTGAAAGCACAAACGAGCCGTAAATTGCTCTAAATCCTGATATTGAAGATCAGAAATACCCAATGCTAATTAAGCCATGTAAATGGTTCGAGAAGGAACTATATTAATTCATTCAGGCTAGATAAATGTTTCTGTTCAAGGAATATGAAGGCTTTTTAAAATACTAAGTGTTGGCGTAATTCAAGGAGCTCAAATTTTCTAAGTATCATTCTCCGTAGGAAATCGGCGCCTCCTTAACATCCCAGTTGTGACGTGTGGGTCCTGCCTGGCAGACCATGAATGGCCCAGATCGGTGCCTGGGAAGCACACGTGAACCCTTCAAGCTGTTCCCCTGGGTTCTTCCCTTTCCTCTTAAAGCTGAAAGTTTCAGACAGCCTAGTCATCTTCATCACTTAGCTTCACCGAGGATATGAGTCTGTAAACAGAAAGTTTGGGGTGTTTGGCCTGTCTGCATTCCTGTTTTTTTCCTAAGTATCCTTCAGCATTAATTGCCTACAGAGATGGGTCTGAGATTTCTCCCCTAACTGGAACACCAGCTAATGTGAACGCCCCCTCCCTGGGGTGTCTGGAAGTCTCACTGCCCTCCACACCCCTCTGCCCCCTGAGAACCGGGATGCCAAGTTTCACATCACCAGTCCCTTGCCTGTCTCTATGGTGTTGCCATAATATGTACTTATCTTTTAAAAACAGAGTCTCGAGTTTTCCCCATTTTCACACTTCACGTAAGCAGTTTTTGCTATGTGTATTTTTCTGACTCCTGCAGTGTTGTGACGTGTATTTAGGCGGTGTGCGTGGCTGTGGTCCTTGCTCGTTCACGGCCGTCTTCTCTTCCACCGCGTGGGTGTACCAGATGCACCCGTTCCCTCGTGGGTGTACTTTGGGGTGTTTTGCTGTTAGAAACGAATGCCCCTCGACCTCTCCCGTGCGCCCCCAGGTGCCCATGTCCAGGGGTCTCCAGGACGTGCACAGAGGAGGGGAACTGGCCAGTGGTAGGGCGTCTGCGCCTGCAGATGGACAGACAGTGTGTCCAGTCGTCGTCCGGAGCAGCTGCGCCGGCTGTGCCCGTGTCGGCAGCAGAAGCCCCCGCCGCTCTGCCTTAGGTGCTGTCCATCTGCAGAGGCGCGGCAGCACCCCCTCGAGCCGGGGGAGATGAGGCACGCCGTGTCCCCATAGCGTCTCGGGCTCAGCTATACCTCCCTGAACTCTTGGCTCTGTGTGTTTCCCTTCCCAGGAAATGCCCGTGTATGTCTCGTGCTAGTTTTTTCTAGTGAGTTCTGTGCATCTTCCTCCTGAGTTTGAGGTGTTCTGCACAGTGCGCCGGATAATCCTTTCAGTTCAGCGTCCGTGTGCTTTTCATCTGATCCCCCCACCCTCTCATTTTCCACAATCATCTCGGCACGCTGGGAAATTGATAGTGGCACACTGCTCTGAATTAAACTGGAGACCTCACTCAGATTCAACTGCTTTTCCTCAAATGTCCTCCTCACGAGCCAGGATCGGGCCCCGGAGCCCACCTCTACTTAGCCCTCGCGTCTCCTGGGTCTGCATCAGGGGCAGCCCCTCGGTCTCCCCTGGGTCTCCGTGGCCTCGACACTGTGAGAGAGCACTGGTCAGTCACTTTGTAGAGCATCCGTCTGTGGGTCTGCCTGGTGCTTTCTCATCATTAGGATGAGCAAGAAAACCTCTTCCTTTTTGGCAAGAAAACCACTGAAGTGCCGCCGTGTCCTCTGAGCCTCCTGTCAGAGGTATGAGCTAGCGATCTGTCCAGTTCCTGGTGGCGGGGGCCTTGATTACTCGGTTAGCAGGCTGTTTGCCACGTGTCTCCACTGTGAGGTCACTGCTGTCCTCTGTTATTAATAAATATTGGGGGGAGGTGCTTTGCAACTTTGCAAATATCCTGTTTCTCTTCAGGCTTTCACCCACGGATTTTAATATCCATCGGTGGATCTGAGGGATGGCATTTGTATAACTTTCATTTTCACATTCATTCTCAAGTTTAAAAATTAAAGTGAAACAGCCAGATGAACTAGGAGATACAGTTGCCGTAGAAAAGAATTGTTAATATTCTAAAGGGCTGACTATCAGAAACAGCTGGAGAATGCAAACTCTTAAGTGTGGGGTTTAGCTTTAGGGTTTAGGTCCCCCCCACCATGCGAGAGTGCTCAGTCGTGTCCAACTCTTTGCGACCCTGTGGACTGTACCCTGCCAGGCACCTCTGTCCATGGAATTCTCCAGGCAAGAATACTGGAGTGGGTTGCCACTTCCTTCTCCAGGGGATCTTACCGACCCAGAGGTCAAACCTGTGTCTCTTGCGTCTCCTGCATTGGCAGGTAGGTTCTTGACCACTGTGCCCCCTGGGAAGCCCTGAGGCTCCCCCCACATAAACCCACAAACTGAAGTGGTCTGGGAAAGAACAGTCTCTTCAGAGCATGGGTGGAAATCGCCATTAGCAATTGAGAATTTACCCCAGAAGGAAATATAATCTGCAGAGCTGGGTGTCTACAAGCAGCGTCTAACAAGTGCTCCATCCAGGGTGTGAGTGTTGGGGGGGTCTTGTCAGACTCCTGTGTGTCCTCCTCGCTGGGCACTCTGGTGGGCGCTCTTTCACTGAGCCTCTCCTGTGAGCCGGGCACTCTGCTGAGGTCAAGTTTGGCTTCCTCAAAAAGCTGGTAAGACAGATACCCACGCAAGTAATCGCCATAAAATATGCTGAGACGTGTGACTGAGGAGCATCCAGCTACGCTGTGCATAAAGGGGGAAGGTAAGCAATTCCACCCAGCAGGACGGGGCGTGGAGGTGTTTGGGGGCAGACTGTCTCAGGATGAGGGGGGATGAACTGGGCCCTGTTAGGTGGGGGGGGGGGTCTCTGCAAGAGTGTGGGCCTGCGCGGGCGGGCGGAGGGGGGCCAGGGAGGCGCTGCTGCTGCAGCAGAGGCCGCCCCACTTGGGGGCTCCGTGTGCAGGTCACCGGTCCCGCCTCCAGCTGCCGTACCGGTAAAGGAACTCAGCTGGCTCAGAACGGACTTCGGGGGGTGGAGGGTGAGTGGGCGCTCTGCGTGTGGCTGGCACTGCTTCTCGGGTCTGCCCCCGCCTCGGCGCTGGGTCAGTTCTGGCCCGGCTGCCCCCGCACAAGGCCGCAGCGAGGCACCTGCAGCTGGGTGACGTCCAGCCCGTGCGCTCTGCTGGGGGGCGGGGGGCGGGGGGCGGCGAGCCACCTGCAGGTGGCACAGGGGGGCGGGGGTGAGGGTGGCCTGGCCACTCGCTGTGGCCACACCAGCAGCTCTGCTCCCTGTCACTGAGGAGCCACTGAGGTGTGGCAAGCAGGCGTGTCTGCAGAAGTCAGCAGTGCCGTGCGCCGGATGGGCCGAAGGGGAGCAGACGGGAGGCCCAGGCCGTGGGGGCGCCTGTAGAAGAAGTCGCTAGGAGACGGTGAAGGTGAACTGGGGCAGGTGGGTTCTGATTCATGGCCCCAGTGTCAGCACTTAGCACCACTGGGTTTTTACATAACCCTTTGCTCATTGTCCAGTTAATCGCCCTCTTCCTCATCATCTGCCCTCTAAAGGTGTGTGTGAGCTGGGAAAATCAGTAGGCAAAACTGCCCCAATAAACGGAACCAGGTTTTGCTTTTATCAGCTGTGCTCCTGAGGTCACAGCCCGCGAGCTGCGTGTAGCGACTTGCTGTTCGATGGGTTCGGTGCTTCTTTTCTTAGAGGACTGGGCAGCTGCGGGGCAGTTTGGTACCTCTGCTGAGTCCTCACCGAAATCCTCTTGACAGACTCTGACCCCGACGTTTACTCGTTCAGATGTCTGGGGGACTTTACACGGCCGAGTGTCCAGCACACACGGAGACCATGGGCTCTTCTCTCTGATGCCTTTTGCTTCACACTCTTGGATGTTTAAAAAAAAAAAAGTTCACTGTATTATGAATCATTTTGTTTCCTTCTTCCATTTCCTGTTTCACAGTGGCAGGGCATGGTGCTTCCTTGAAAATGTCTTCATCTCTTCAGCTTTGGAAAATGGAGATTCAGTTCAGAGGAGGGAAGTCTGTTTCTTGATCTCTGAAAGTCAAGTGATTCTGCTAATTACAGACTTTTTTTTTTCCTGTCATGTTTAGAATTGAGTCTTTGTAACCTTGTCAGTGAGTGCTGGATTGCTAGAAAAGGCCCACTCTGGGGCTGAATCGTAGAATAAGAGGAGAGTAGGGTGTGCATCTCCATTGTATGTGTGGATGCTGCTGCCTTAGAAGCAGACAGGTATGAGGTTTTAAGAGGAAAATTACTCTGTGGCTGAGTGAGTAACATGCTGAGTATAAGAAGAATCGAATCACCCGTCTCACTTCTGACATAAAGTCCACATGTGTTGTGCTCAGGTTTTGTGACATCTGGGGCTTCGATTACCCCAGGGTCACTGCATCACCTCACAGCGTCCCCGTGGTCCTTGCCCACCCCTCACCCTATGGATATACTCTGTAAGGGCCAGAGAAACATGATTTGGAGTTCTCAGGCTTGGAGCACTTCTTCGGGGAGGCTCTGGGGTTAAAGTAGTGCCCAGAATTCTCCTTTGCATCCCTGAAACAGACATCAGCTTGTGCTGTGTGGTGGTTACATCTTTTTAGAAAAACCAGTCACTTTGCAGAAGGGCTTGACCCCACAGTTGCTGTTGCCTTGGAAAGACGCCTGTGCGTTTGCTCAGTTCAGTCACTTAGACATGTGCAACTCTGCAACCCCGTGGACTGCAGCCCTCCAGGCCTCCCTGTCCATCACCAACTCCCGGAGCTTGCTCAAACTCCTGTGCATTGAGTCAGTGATGCCATCCAACCATCTTATCCTCTGTTGTCCCCTTCTCCTCCCGCCTTCAACCTTTCCCAGCATCAGGGTCTTTTCAAATGAATCGATTCTTCGCATCAGGTGGCCCAAGTATTGGAGTTTCAGCTTCAGCAT